GATTCTTAAAACATGCATAAACATGTAGACCAATTTAAGTGATCACGTTACACACTACTGGGAAAAGCTTAATCTGACCAGCTCGAAACCAAAAGTTTCGGTAACAGAGTACACATGAATAGCAAAAGGTGTGGAATGTATGTCGTGAAGGTTAAAAGAAATTTTAAAATAGAAGTAGAGAAAGTTTCAATCTTCCTAGTTTCTCAAAGTTCTTCTTACAGTATGGTGTCCTGTTCTGAGTTGTATTTCGATGTTGTGGATGTTGCAATGAATAAGTTCGGATTTTTTTGTTCTTTTATGCAGGTGAGGAATAATACCACATAGAATTCAATCAATCAAACGATCAAACGATCAATCAATCAATCAATCAATCAAATTAGATGTTTATATTTTTATATTTTTAGTTGGTTGGTAGCATAAAAAGTTTATTGTTAACTACAATTTAAACAATACTTTTGCACGTTTAATACAACTACTAAGGGGAAGAGCATTTGATTTTCTGGAGGGGGGAAGTGGAGGAGGTGAGGGGACAGGAGCCCTCTTCGTTTTTGAAGTTTCACAATGGCAGAGGGGAAGCCGTAGAAAGAAAAAAAAAACCAGGCTGCCCGAGAATTCTGAAAATGAATATTCTGGCCTGGTTGGAGCTGAAAATAAATAACCTTTTATTAGACAGGATGGAAATGAATATTAAGCAACACAAAACGCAGGAAACAGTTTACGAAAGGCAAAACTAATTTTTCCGGCGAAAAAGTAAGCATCCGTAGCAATAGCAACAGACATAAAATCCCTCCTGCCCCTACCCTGTATAACAAATAGTCGCCCCCTAATTTGTATTTGTAACCACCTTAGTGATTATCGTATTTCCTTTTGTGCCTTTTTGACTAAGTTTGCATGACGAAAGCATATATACCAGGAGAACCCAACCCAGTCGACGCTCCCGGTTTCTTTCCATTTTGGAGCAATTCTGTCAGTTTTATATTTTGATTTGTACATAAAAAATTGTTAACGAGTTTGAGCTACTTCGCAGGGGGTGATTCATTATAGCAGTATAAGGGCTAAACTTGTCGACACACCCGGTCTTGCTCCCTTAATTTTTATTCTTATCACTATGTGTTACTTCTTAATATATTTATTGGATTGCTCATTGATTAACTACTGTTATCTCAATCTTTTTAACATCGTTATCCTGTTGTTGCATCTAAATCACAATTCGTATATTATTATTATATTATACAACAGATTAAAACAAAAACAATCTCTAAAACTGATATCATCAATTAGGATGCTTGATGACTTGATCTAGAAATTTTAATTTGTTAAGTTTGGAGGACGTGTTTTTCACCATATTATCGGCATTCATTTGGTAACCAACTGTGCTTCTCTTCTAACCGACTTGTTTCTTTATTCATATTAAGCAGACTTTACACATGAACTTCTCAGAAGGAATAGAAAGAGGCTAGCATTATCCTTTAGCTGAATGTTTTATTTTATAGATGATGCCATCTCATTAAATATTTCAAAGTTTGGTGACCATGTTGAACGCACCTATTCCATCGAATTTCAAAGAAGGGATACCACAGATGCAAGTAAGTACATATGTCCAATGAGGTCGATTGAGAACTACATTTTACGAAAAATCCATTATGGTTTCTAATACATCTAGTTAATACGAATCGGATATTCAGGAGCTTACGTTTCATATCATGGTTTCCGTGCTAGAGGATTACTGCTTACAGTGAAACCATTGAACCAAGAGTTCCTAGTGTTATAGCTGAAATATCCATTCTTAAGTTTTGTGGACGCTGTTATGATTTGGTTCATATGTTTATTGAATATCTGTGTCACAAATGACCACGGATTTGTTCCAATTATTGTAGCCACAATCTGGTTCTCTTGTCCTCGATTGTGACAGCACTGAATGGGACTTATCGTCGAATCTGTACTTTTCACGAAAAACCTGCTGGCTACCACGTGTTGAGTAGAATCTGCCTTCCCTTCTTGGGCACCTGAGATCAACCCTGGTTTTCTTGTTGATCAGTCCTTAGCTTTCGATTATTAACATGTGTTTTGTTAGACTGTTGTTTGATATTTAGTTTTTTGCCATTGTGATTTGGCTTTGTCTTAGATTTATAATAGGAGCCTCGGTGCATGAGCGAGTGGTTTAAGTAGTTGAACTGTATCACTAAACTGTCAACACCGAGGTTGTGAGTTCAAATCCCGCACGTGACAGGTGCGTTCGACTACAATTTTAATTAAGTAAGGTTGCCAGTTTTCCTGCCGAAAATCTGTTGTTCTCTGGGGGCATTTCTGCTTTGTTCACTAATAAAACTTGCCGCCATGAAATAGCCAATAGTGCCAAAAGTGGCATTTATTATCAATAAATCAATCCATCAATCGATTTTTTAATATAATTTTGTATTGTCCGTTTGGTGTCTTATGTCCTTTTGTATATTTATTATTAAAAAAGCATATAATTGGATTTGAAATTTCGTTTTCATCTTTATTCTGAATTTTGTTTTAGCCCTGGTGTTGATGCTCTCTTTGACTCTTTTTTGAATTTTTTCAATACCATTGCTATTTTATATTTATACCGATATGCCTGAATATAATATCCATTTCGATAGATATTATAAAGAAAAACAACACACAGCTAGGGGCAATGCGTAAATATCTACATTTAGGTGCAGTGTTACTATCGCCGCGTTAAGCCGATATTATATTTAACTCTGGTAGCAATGTATAACTAGTAGTGCTTTACATGAAATTGTAAATTTAACTACTACACAGTATTACTGATATAAAAATAAGGAGATGTGGTATGATTGCCAATGAGATAACTATACACCAAGGATCAAATGAAGTGGATGTAAGCAATTATAGGCAACCGTGCGGCCTTCAACAATACCGTACAGTCGGCTATAAAAGGCCCCGACATGAAAAATATGAAAAAATTCAATTGAGAAACTAACGGCCTAATTTATAACAAAACAATTTACGAAAAACAAATATTACAGACATGAGTTTACATAAAGTTCGATTATTTAACTACTATACTGAGCATTAACGGAGTGCCAAAATTTGTATATTTCACTATTGTTTTGTTTAAACTACATACATAACCGCTTCTGTGACAAGTTACTTCTGGACAACAAATATGTAAGCAGCTTTTAAAAGCAGTGTAACACCATTTTAACCTCTTAGATAATTCTCTTAAACTTGACACCGTTTTTCGTCATCTCATACCAGTCATTATGTTATGGTCTTTCGCTTATTTTCATATTTCGCTACATATCCTCGGCTCACTTCGACCATCGTGCAGTTTGTAATGAACATTAAATAACGTATAGTCTGTGAAAGCTCATCAGAAGTTCCGATTTAACAATGTTTTGTTTTATCATACGTATTTTAACTCAGAACTAATTAATTTTTCATGTCTATACATGACTTAGCTAGATTTATGCAAAATATATATGTAGTTTATTTTACTTATAAATTGATCAGTGATTTATTTCCCGTGGTTTTACTATCATAGCTTGTCAATTCATGGATTGTGTTTTATTATAAATGAGGATCATGACTCTAATTTGCACTGCTGTGGCATCTTATCATCTCAATCTAAGATTACTTCAACAGAATCTCTTTTATATATTTTGTTTCGCTTGAATGCCATTATATGTATTTGTCTGAACATTTGCTTGCATTCTAAATTGTTTTGTAATACATTGCATTTTTCTTTAATGATCTTCCCCTGTCTTGGCATGTGTTGAATGTAGGATACCACATAAAATTAAACCTGGAAGTGAAAAACAATAATTGAATGTACACACTTCATGTACATTTAGTTACTAGTATACATAGTAGTAGTAAAACATACGAACTTTTATTATATACAATCATTTATACTTTGTAGTGGATAAATGTACAAACTTTTGGTACATTTAGTTATAGTTAGTAGTAGTTAAAATGTACAAACTTTATGTACAGCACTAAAGCAATGTAACTAGAGTTAATTAGTATCTTGTTTGTCGGCTCACCTCGACCATCGTACAGTTTGCTATGAACTTTAGATTTCTTGTATACTTACCAGAAATTTGAAAAATGTTGGTTAGGAAGTGTCCTGCTTGAAGCAAAAAAAAAAACAAAACAAAAAAAAACAAAAAATTACTACAGCAGTGTTTGCATGACGTATTGGTCTTTGAGCTTAGTAGTTATAGTATACAGTTCTGGTCAGAAATTGATTCATATTAGATTTGCTGTCTCATTTGCGTACTACACCCCACATCTTTATAAATTAAAAATCAGCCTGTTTTGTTGTTTTATTTAGAGACCACAGTAAATGACCTTTGCAAGTGTTTCCAAAGAATTATAAGAGAGTACACTGATTAAAGGCAATAATAATATACCGCTGTTCAATGGTCATAAATCGATTTAACTGATTACATCCGGGTCACAAACCAAAACCGAGGGAAACACATCAACTATAAGAGGAAAACAACGGAACAACATAAACACTGAACTGCTACAAAAACAAACGCCAACATACATAGAAACGGACTATTTGATAACAACTGCCATATTCCTGACTTGGTACAGGACATTTAAAAAAAAGTGAATATTTAGATCTAGAGGAGATTATTTAGTGTTATAAACAACAAGAAATATGACATTAATTTAACTTTGTATCAAGATCTTTGATATTGTTTATCGGTATTATCATTGGTGGCCTTGGACTTTTTTCTGCTTTCTGGTGGGGTTGTTGTCTCTTTGACACGTTCCCCGTTTCCATTCTCAATTTTATCTACAATGATTTTAATTGTCACCAGTATAGTAAATAACTAATGATAACGTGCTATTGAGTTATCAAAAATCTAAATCAACTGTGCTCTTCTTCTATTCACTTGTAAATTAAAGAGTCAAGCACAATTCAATATAATATGTATGTATCTAATAATATATGTCTGTAAATTGTTTTGTTATTTGCCAGTGTACAGTTAAATTTGTCAAGTAGATTGGTATTGGATTTTTTAATTCTACTGCTGTTTATTTCTTACAATGAAAACCATAGCAGCAAATGAAACGAAACAATATAAACAACAAAATTTATGTTACGTTGCTATGTATCAACCAACTGAATTAAACTTATGACATAAACTTTCAACAAATCCTTTAAAAATCCATTCACTTTGCAATAGCTTATGTCTCAGTATTGTTATCTGTAACTCATAACGAACCACGTAACTCTAAAAAATCCTGTACCTTGCAACGGCCAAATGGTTAATGGTGTGACGGCAGTGATCGAAACTATTATCCTTATGAACGACAGTGATGATTGATATCGGAATCTAATGCTTAATCCTGAAAAAGTTTCTGCATTAGTAAAGTTTAATAGTATGTTTAATCGTTGAAAACACTGAAGAATTTGTAAACGGCTGTCAAAAACTTATACTTTTCATCCTCGCATTCTTGACCTGATACTGCGCATTATGCAGAAGATTGTCACATGTTCAAATTGTTTTTTGCACGTAAGATTCAATTACTGTTGAATATCAACCAGCACTCCCAAGCCATTTACTTTATACATGGACATGTGACGTTTTTGTCTGAATTGCTTTAACGTGACTGTAAGAAGCATCTTCGCCATTATGTAAATATTTGCATGTCATATCAAAGAGTATATCACGAAATTGTCTACTCATAGCACAATACATAATGAAGTTAGTCGCATTATTAATGAGTGCTAAGATATCAATCGTATCTGCTAACAAAGCATATTCCACTTTGAAGAAATTTTCTTTGAAAATGCCAATCAAAAGTAAGATTGACTGGGGAAGTTCAGCCACAATAAACATACATATAATAGCCAGTAGCATAATTGTTGTTCGTCGATGAGTTCGCATGCGTTCTTCAACTCGAGCTCCTTTCAGTGCTTTGGTTCGCTCTTGGCTTATGTGCAATGTGTACAAAAGAAGGCTTCCAGATATTGTTATAAGTATACAAGGTCCTATTTTCCCCATCAAAATAAATATCCAAGCAGCTAATGCTTCTATCCAAGGCATATCCTGTTCTCCTAAACGTAAATTTTCAAGCATGTATACCTTATCCGATCCTGCAGTTATTTGTACTTTTGTGATATAATAATTTGGTATACAAAACAGTATGGATATCAGAAATACCATGACCACCAGCATGACCGACTTTGCTTGGTCAATATTTATTTTTCCTATTCCCATAGATTTTATGTAGATATATCGCACAATTGACATACAAACTCCAAGCCATATTGAAATCATATGTGTTGTAACACTCAAGTTAAAATGAACGGCGAGAAACCAAGTCCATTCGAATGTATATTTGGCTGGTGTTCGTTCAAGGCCGTGCTGTATGTAAAAATGAATTGCAAATGGTATGTAAGACATCATAGTTATGGCGTCTGAGATGGCAATGCCGGTTAATATATTATTGATTGGGTTACGCATGCTCTTCCTTGTAAGTATTATAATATTCACCAAATTTGTAGGAACTCCGAAACAGCAAATTGCCAAACTTAGGTAACCATGCAATGTATAATATACGCACGCATACGCAAACAAGTCATTGATTGGTTGATCACATTGACCCAGATTGGAGACATTCGACGTTGTATTGTTCATGTTGTTGGTCTATGTCATCCCCTACAATAAAGAAAACAAAATTGCATTGGAATATTGGAAAGTGTTTTAAATAAAACTATTAAGAATATCAGGCTCTCTACATGTGGTTTTGGTGATTTGTAACGTCAAGTTGCCGTTTAATGGTGTATATCTGAATTATCATTTATTTGAATATTTTACTTTCTTGATAACGTATCCATATTTAATAGGAGTGTGTATTTGCACTTGAAACAAAAGTATTCAAAATTAATATGGAAATTATATTTAGTGTCTCAGTTGATATGTAGAAATATTAATATACTTATTATCCTTTAAAAAAATAAACTGAACACTAAAAAGTTGGTGTACAAGTAATCTTGCCTTTGAGGGTGGTAAGTAGGAGGACCAATAAGCTCGCTAACCCCCTGTGGTTTCACTACCATTTGAACAAATTGGTATTTCCAATTGGAAAATTCAAATTTCAATGACATACATTAATGGTGTTTTAAATCATCTTTTGTGAATATCGTACAGGGCAATAACATTTTTCAAATAGAAAAATTTGCAAAACGATATTCAAGCATTGACACTGATGATGAAATTGATAATGCTAAAATTCTTACTTGCTGTAATAATTCATAAGGTGATAAAAGCTGACTTCAGTTTGAATGCTGTTTTTTTTTCCAATTTATACGTTAAGGAAAAGGTGCGTGCGTTGGTCGAGTTAGTTATCTATGATAAGTGTGCAATAACATACATGTTTTGTTTGGGGAAAAGGGACAATCAGAAATCAATTATACATTTTGCAGGCGTTGAAAGTCCTTAGTCTTAAACAGTATTATTTTTACGTTAATAAGATTTGTAACAAGCAATTTAATGTTTCAGTTGGTTTCTAGCAAAATAACATTGAGAGGCTAACTTGAAAATACCGACATTAGTTTCATTATCAAAAGAGGATTAACGCTAACTGTTCAACAGAATGTACGCAAATCTGTATTAAATAGAAACCAAATTTCATGTTTTGTTTGGTACTATAGAATATGTACAAAACTAAACGTGATTTAAAATGTGCTCTATGAAAAAACATGCATGAAACTTTACTAAGGCGCTTAATTAGAATATAACAAACTGCATCGGGTACATGCACGTCCAGGACGACAAATATACTGTGAACATACAAAAAAGAAGATGTGGTATGATTGCCAATGAGACAACTCTCCACCAGAGACCAAATGACATGATAGAAGTTAACAACTGTAGTTCACCGTACGGCCTTTAACAATGAGCAGAACCCATACCGCATAGTAAGCTATAAAAGGCTCCGAAATGAATAATGTAAAACAATTCAAACGAGAAAACTACCACATTACAGAACAATTCAGGATAATTAAAATATGAATATTTCAGAACTGCAAATTCATCAGAAAAAGATCAATTGTGTTTTTTTCTTCAATGTTATTATAACATTACCCAAGTATTGTCCTCCTTAGAAAATGCATGTTACTCGAAGTATGGATATTTCTCACGCATAAAATGTGCATGTTTGAAGGCAATGCAATGAACTCATACATACATAAAGTTGTTAAATAATCATGATCATAAAAAAAAATAATTTAGACGTTGAAAGAATAAATTCGTTTGCTTTTATTTCTACTGTAGAACTAAAATCGTGAAATAACAATTTACTTATTTTGATTAATGACTCTTGACAAAGACCGTCTTTATAGTTTCAATGAGTTCTACGGTAATCTTAAAAAAATATGAAGATGAGTCATAAACAATAACTTCATCCTTCAGGTCGACAAATATTTCGGACACCTTTATACAATAGGCCCTCTGTTTTAAGTGAAAAATGCATTTGTTTTATATACCTGATTGCGTTATACGGACATTTTAGAAATTCATAGAAAAAGGATCGAGTTCATAAGGGCTGGTGTAACATTTTTATATCATTTGTGAATTTTCTTGCAGGCACGACTATTTTTGACTTTTTTTTTTCCTTGCAAACACGACTATTTTTTGTTCTTTTTATTTTCTTTTGAACGATATCCTGTCGCCCTACAACTTTTGATAGTTTGATAATTTGACAAATTGTATTTCGCTATGCTAAACAATAATAGTACGTCTATAAATGACATTTTAAATTGTTTTTCCTCACTGTTAGCTATTATTCTTCGTTACCACCGATAATCATTTCTTGACAGAAATTGCAAATAAAATACGTAATTTCTTTTTATGGATGAAATATGCCATAACATTGATGACAAACACGAAAACGCTTTCAATATAACGGATATGCCACTTGCTTAAATAATACTCATCATTCCTGGTTCATTTTAATGTAGTATGTGTCGCACTTTTTATGCTCACATAATACAGTTTGACTTCAGAACCTTTAAATGGAATTGAAATTAATGGCCTTTGTTATTTCCCGTACTTTTGTAAACAAACAAACTAGAGAAAATTTTTACAATAGTCAATATCTGTAGGATGATTCTAGACACACTATAGGTTGGCAAACAAATAATAAATTAAGCTCCCGATAAGACATTAAATGCAATTAGTTCTTGCAGTTTGTTATCTGTCGACTGAATAAATACAGCTTTTGTGTAGGATATATCAGATTGAAATGATGTTCAGAAATTTTATTTTATAATCAATGATAATAAGATTCAAGTAGGACCTCGTTTAATTAATTCGAAACATCTGGATCAAAGTGCCGCTGTGACAATTTGACCATCATCTATGTTGCAGTTTTGATAACCATTTTCTCTAAAACCACACAATAATATCAGTCGAAAACCCAACATCAAATCAACCTCTTCCTTTTTTTACGTGTTAAAAGAGGCAAAGTACTAACTGTTACAATCATAAATTTAAATAATTTCATTGACGTTTTTCTGTATATAGTTGTGTAGTGTCAGGTGAAGGAAGTCATATTAGTTCTGCTGGATGTAAACTTTACTAAGCTGAATTAAAGGACATTCCAAAAATAAACAAAAAATATCTAAACGTGACATCTTGGAGTAAAAGTACAGGAATTCATACAGAATCTGAAAACAGTATCAATTCTATTATGAGATGGAATATAAAATGGCGGATCGTCAATTCTGAAAAATTCTGGTTGAAAAGTTGCAATGATTGTTTTTTTTTTAGTAGATTGTTCAAACTTAAAAATCCTTAGAATTAGCGGTGATAAACCTCTTATATCATTAATCAATGGGTAACCGTGGAATTAAGTTTCCTGAGCTTATATAAAATGTACCAATCTAATAAAAATCAGAATACAAAAAAAACTTCATATGTCAAAGAGGTATCACATTAAAAAAGTATTTTCCGTCATACAACTAAAAAATAAATAAAAAAGAAACATCATGATAACTTAATACATTTGTAAGACTAAATGTCGAGCAACTTGGAAATTAAGTTGAAGAAAGTAATTGGAATAAAAAAAGCTCGGCTAAAACAAATGTCTATTTCAATATCATGAATGTTTGTAAGAATAATATGGTGACCTTCAGGATATCATTACACCAAGTTACACAAGTTTTACATCTCAATCTTCAATCAAGCAAATATTTTGTTCATTCTAGTTTGTATCTAATTACACATTCTGCGGAAATAGCCTGATGGTCGGAATTTATTTTTTCTCTAGTTAAGTGTATATTTGAGATTAAACCAAGATTCTCGAAGTTAATTGGTATGATTTAAAGCATAAAGCAGACACTGCGGGGCATTTTGAGAGAGAGATATTATTACCTGATGAAATTTCATCTTACAGCATTTATTACTTGCTCTTTTTTTGGTATCATATATAAAAATAAGAAGATATGATATGTTTATATTACTAGTTTAAAGCTTTCGAAATATTGTACAGTCGTTATAAACAACTTATCTGTGACTATAATGTTTCTAAATGTTTGTCCCCTTCTGCAATGTTCTGTGAGTTTTATGTCGAAACATCCTCGATTAATTCATTTATCTATTTAAAATATTGCAAACTTAAATTTGTATTCAAATTTTGTGTTGGATAATTATTTAGACAGAATGTGGATAGTATAATGTATCATGCCAAATGTCTCTTTATAAACTACAAATGTAATTAACATCTTTAAACAATATGATTAACCTTATCATCGTTACTTTACCACATACACACTTCGTTTTGTTTGTATTACCATTTACCGCAAAGATTTCCTGTAGATACTTTATAATACCGTTCTGTTGGGAAATAGAAAATATAGATCACGATTTACTGCGAGGTTTGTAATTATCTGGCCCAAGTCTATGGTATAAGACAGGAAATTAAACAGCAACAATTGATTTATTACATAGTTTACATAATAGCTAAGGAAGTCCATCTTTTTTTATCAATAGAATTTCGTGACTCTATCTTGTCACACTTTGATGACTTGCGTTTCAATGTTTCAGAGGTGGAAAGTAAAAGAAATCAAAACTGTCACATGGTTTACTACATTTGTAGTCACGTTACATAATCTATACAATTTATTGCAGAAAATATCCGAAGGAAATGATAAATGACACAAAAAGAAGATTTTTGAAATTATATCTGCATGTCGATTTACAGTTTATCCAACACAACATCCCATATTGATACTTTGGTAGAACTTAATTCATACATGGTAGTAATATTAATCTACACTTAAATTGAAACAGAGGAATAATTGAGAACACGACATATAATATCTCAGATAATGCAAGGCACATAGTATGAGCAATCAATATCAAAATATTATCACGTTTAGTCAAATTCTACGATTAAATACGGACATTTTTCAAACATCTTGCATTGAAATTGTAAACTATGACACTCACTAATACTATAATTGAATTAACTGAATAACCTTTTTAATGAATTTCTACAGTTCTACTTTTAACTGACTAAAACACTTCTGTATCGTCCAGGTTTAAACATAGTTATTTAATAAAGATAATCGATTTCAATGTAGGTCCGTTTAATGAAATCAAAACTGTTGAAGTCCACTTTGAGAAGAAGCATTAATAATCCCACCATAAGTAAG